GAAAACACTCAAAATAGGTAAACTCTTCGTCTTCCTTTGGATCCTTCCTCTGTTCGTCGTCTATTCCACAGTCACATAGTGCATAGTCCGCTACACTTCGGCGCTTCTAGAGTTCCAGTTCTAGACTCCAAAAGTCTAGAGCAGAGACAAAGACCAAACTCCAGAGTCAAGAGTCCTCCCAGTCCCAGCCCCATGCACTTCGCAATCTGCACTTAGGGACTTCCGACTACCGCAAACTCAGACTTCCGACTTCCGTTGCGCCCTTCTAGTCTTCCGGTGCTGAACTATTGCCATCGTTCTTCTTTGGTTCTTCATCTTCACCACCAGGTGCCAGTTACAGGCCTTACAGGCATACAACAGAAGTCCAGAGTTCCGGATGCTGTCAAGTGCCAATTCTATTCTTCTTCTTCTTCTTCTCCAGAAGTCTAAAGTCCTGGCTGCCGTCGAGTGTCGACTCTGTGTTGTCATTCTTCTTCTTCTTCTTCTTCTTCTTCTTCTTCTTCTTCTTCTTCTTCTTCTTCTTCTTCTTCTCTGTTTTTGATAGAACATAGATTGACATGCTCCAGGCTCCTGGTTTTGTTGTCGATAGAAGACTTGCTCCAACTGCTGTTGCGTCAATGCATCTTCCTCCATCTCCAGGCTCCGGTTCACCACAAAACAAAAATATTTCGATTCTAACCAAAATAACCAAAAAAAATTTGGCTCGGTTTATCATATTACTAAATCGGTTTTTAGAATTTTGTTTTTTTGGTTTGATTTTGAACCGAAAAAACCGAATGCTCACCCCTAATTATGCCTCAACTACGCCTTTAGCCTTTTAAAACCTTAGTTATGGGTGCTACCACCAATGGGTTGATAGTGCTTCTACTGGTAAAGGAGGCATATGAGCAGAGGGTGCCATTCTACATCGAAGCCTCAACCTGTTTGCATCAAATACAACACCATCACAAAATCCAATCTAGATTTCCAACCCACAAAATCATGCATATACCACCTAGCCATCACAAGTATAGTATATATTGCACTTGAGATGGGAGCAACAAGCGCATCCCTTGTAAACCATGAGCTTAGGCACTCAAGTTTGCTGCCATACACAACAATTTTGCTCTCATGGTCCACTAATACATGAACCTGATCATCATGGAACTGGACCTTGGTTTCTCCAGCCAATGGGATGGAGAGACTAGGAGATGCTTGTTGAATCATGCTTTGTTAGAAATTGGGGTCACAAAAATTTAAAGTTAAAGCTCTGAAACGTATTTAAAGACATTATCTTTAGAACGTTATTTGCACCTACTCAGTTTTATTGAATTTGCTATTTTTTTTTGTGGAAAATTCCTGATCATTACTATGATCTTTAGGGGTTGTGTCAAGTCAGTCCCCGAACTTCAAAACATGTCTATGTAGTATCCCGAATTTTTAGAATGTGTTTAATAGGTCCCTATTGTTAATAGTCCACCGGTTAATTTGTGAATTACAGGTCATAACTTGTACTTTTTGCGATTTTGCAAATGACATAAATTGCAATTTGTGATTTTGCTCAATGACTTGTGATTTCACAAAATTCACATTTTGCAATTTGTTTACAATTTCACAAAGTCAACCTCATGCAATTTGCGATTTGGCAAAGTCATCCTTCTATAATTTGCGATTTCACAAAGTCTTCTAATTGTGATTTGTGATTTTGTAAGGTCAACTAACTTCAATTTGCGATTTCACAAAATCAACTAATATCGATTTGTGATTTTGCAAAATCAACTAATATCGATTTGTGATTTTGCAAAATCAACTAATATCGATTTGTGATTTTGCAAAATCAATTAATATGATTTGTGATTTTGCAAAATTAACTAATTTTGATTTATGATTTTGCAAAATAGCAATATGAGATTTAATACATTGCAAATCTTCTCATCGCATTAAGAGTCATTGCAAATATAAAGCACTTCATTGCACCACACACACGCATTGTGCGATAGCGGATTCTTAAGAGCTAAAGTTAAATTCAGTAATTTTTCAATGTAAAACAAGGAGTTTTGTTGGAAATTTTAAAACCAATTTTCAAAGTACAAGTGAGTGTTTTTTATTATGTAATTAATCAATCAGACACCCGATGTATTTAATCTTTATCCACGTCGAAGTCCAACATGCTTTCCTCTTTTCCCATCCATCAATGATTCAATGCCCCTCATGCATAGCTATGCATCAGCTCTCCATGATAGAGCCTGAGAAAATGCAAGGCCAGTTATTTGTTTCTAATGCCCCTTTCAGTTTGGTTTTAACCTCATTAATCCACACATTGTATATTTGTATTGTTGAATCTTTCATCCCTATGGGCTATGGCAATGATATTGTTGCCCGAGGGTGGAATGTCAAGAAGGTAGCTGCAGGAGGTGGCATAATGAAAGTTGTCATGACCTTAAAATGTCATCAACTTGAATATGGAGGGAGACCTTTCCACCAGACAGACATAACATAAGAACCATTTGTTAATAATGCAATGCATGCAACTGACTCAACTGAGTTGGTTTTGCTTGTGTCATTAGTCATAAGGAGTCAAAAGAGTTCCCTTTATTGGCTTTCACAGTTGTGGGGCAACAGATGCGTGTACTTGCCAGTTGGATTCTGTTCAGTACGCTGCCGTTTTCACAACTTATGTGTACCACATTGGAAGCAAGGGCCAATATAGCTAGCCTGAGTTTGTGTTATTAGCTGCACCATCTTACCAGTTGTCATGGGATCAGGCAACTCGAACTTTTAATTAAGCTGAGTTAGTGATATCAGGCAGCTTCTAGATTTTAATCTTGTCAACATCCTCTGGGATTCTTGGCTTAACAACTGTTGTCCTGCTACTGTCCATGGGAGCAAGGCTACTAACAGATAATACAGCTGGAATTCTATCAGAATGTTCCAAGGTTGACACTAATGGGGCAAAAACATTGGCTATAGGACCCAATGGATTAACAATTGGAGGCTTTGTATTGATTGACTCAAAAGGACCTCGAGATCCCTAAATGTCCTGCTCTCCATCATTCTTATCAAATGCTCTTCATCAGTGCTTGCTAGGATTTTGATACCACTGTCGCTTGTGATTGCTAATAATGACCCACCCTTGTTGAACCTCAATCTAGGGCTCACAGGTAATCCACCTGCATCAGTAGTCATCAACAAGTTGGTATTGTTCAATACCCCAAAACTTGATATGAAATTCATCTCCAGCAGCCAAGAAGCGATTCCTTATCAAATTGGATGAGAATAAAAATTATCATATTTTTATCTCTTAATATTCAGTCTTTTACACTTATATAGTATCTAATTGGACTCACTATTCTTGTATTTCAATTTAGGGCACGAAAGAAGGCGTTAGGTAAAAAACAAGGTTAATCGGGTAATTTTGCACAGTTTCGGCGCCGTGCGGTAATCTGAGCATAACTCTCCCATTCGGACTCTGATTGAGATGATTCAAGATGCATTGGAAAGATAAAAAAAAAATCTACAACTTTCCTGTTATGTGTTTTAATAGATTCGGACTGCATCGAGGTCAAAATTGGGCCCAAAGTCTAAGCCAATTCGTAGAGAAGCCCAATTCACAGAGAAGCCTTGCAACGGCCCAATTCGTTGAGAAAGCCCAATACGAATTTGGCATGCATGAATAAGAATCATCAGAGTCCTATCAGATTCAATTTTCTGCTGTATTTCTAGAAAGGTAAAAGTGATTAAGATTACCAGTTAAGAGATAGGAGTAGATTAGATCTAATCTAGGCATTATCTATTAGAGAACTAAATTCCCAATGAAGAAATAACTCCTTAGAGGAGCAGGAAACAACTGCCTCCTAAGTCTATATAAAGGGGGCGGATTAGCACCCAAGGGCACCATCAAATCCTCTAGGAAAGCTTCAACTTTCAAAGAGAGCAATCAACAACCAAGGAGGAAGAAGCAGAGTTCGCCTCTTCTCATCTGGAAGCTGTAATTTCATCATGAAGTGTCTGTAAGGTTTTATTTTCTAGTTGAAGGGTTAGGAAAGCTTTGATTTTATAAACATTGTGAGATCTAATTGATTTTTATTTCAGTTTATTGTTTATAAGTATTCATATATTTTCTGCGATTTCTTATAAATATTATTTTTATTGATTAAGCAAGAAGGGCCCCTTGCTCATTCAATGAGAATAATCTATGGCCGATTGAACTTCCAATTTCGTATATGATTGATAGGTTTAATCAGGGTGGCAACTAATATAAATTGATTGCAAAAAAGTTTTTTATCTATGTTAGGAAGATATATGATCTGATTTAAACGGTCTGAGCTTGTAAAATCGCTGATCAGAATTGGGTCTCTCCCCTCTTAATGCTATTAATAGATTAAATCCTAAGAACTTATTTAAGACTGTCTATTAATAAGAGAAGCAATCAAAGAGCTTATTTTGGTTGTCGAATAATACGAGTAAAGGCTAACTGTTAGAGTTTGTTAATGGCTATAATCAATTTATTCGTAAACATATGAATTTATCATTGCATCGAGGATAAATGATAAAGATCAAAATTGAACTTGTCCCTTCAACTAGAAGCTATCGTCCACCGATTTGATCTTTACTTTATGTTATTTTCTTTTATTTCATCTTATCTTTCTTATCTTCACAACCCTCTACTTCATTTACTTGGAAATAAATCCACCCAATCCCTGTAGAGACGAACTTGCTCATCACTATATACAAATTATTCACTTCGAGCAAGACTTTTTATCTTTGGTTGGATTCGACACCCACATCGGACAACACAAAAGGAGCATTTCCTGAAACCAGTATGTGTTCCACAAGAGAACAACCTTGTTTCATCTGCACTATATGCCATTGTGGTGCACTAAAGTCAAGGAGCATCATAATCCACTCTAGCTCCCAAGAAATCATATAGCCATGCTTTAATCTTTCCATCAATTGCAGTAGAAAAAATAAACTGGATATTCTCTTTGTAGTGAAAGCAAACAGAATACACAGCAGCTTCATGACCTTCAAATGTTGTCTTATTATCACCACAGGTGACAATACATAGTTGCTTTTGGGGATGAGAAAAATCAATATCATTAACACCACAGATATGCTAAATGTTGTCTCAGTTCTCCAGTTGGGTTGTACATGTATATTTGAACATATGCTTTGAAAATGCAACACCAAGTATGCATCCATCAGGGCCCCAACTACACCGATTGACAGATATTGTTGCAGCTTTTATCAATGCAGTCTGCTAAGACATCAAGAAAGTCAAGATATCCCAAACCTTGAAAGTTGTGTGCTAGCCTTTCTCGAGATGCAACTCCCCAGATTGAAATTTCACCTATATTTGTACCCACTAGAAGAAGCTGTTGCTATGGATGGAAATCCATGCTCATTATGTTGGACCCTTGATTAAGTGTCCACACAACAGTTCTAGGAAGGTCATCTTGAGAGTATATATTTGGGTACAAATTTCACCTATATTTGTAGAAGAAGCCTGTTGTAGTGGATGGAAGTCCATGCTCATTATGTTGGACGCTTGGTTAAGTGTCTGCGCAACAGTTCTAGGAAGGTCATCTTGAGAGTAGATATTTGGGTACAACTTTCACCTATATTTGTAACCACTAGAAGAAGTTTGTTGCTGTGGATGGAAGTCCATGCTCATTATGTTGGATCCTTGGTTAAGTGTCCGCACAACAGTTCTAAGAAGGTCATCTTGAGAGTAGATATTTGGAGGATGTGTGGCACCAGAAAAATGGAACCTCATCAGGTTAACCAATGCAGATCTGCTTCATCAAATGCTCTGAATCAGCTGATTGATAATCCACTCCTGGGGTACTAGTAGGAGACTAGGAGTCCATCTGTAAATATCAAACTGAAAAAAAAGAAGTATCAATTGTTCGACACATGATATGTAATTATTTTTTGTATCATGCATGTCAATATTTTAAACCTTGGTGAAAAACTGAAAATTGACAAAAATATAATCATTTTTAACAACACGGGGGTTTTCCTTTGCTATCATGAGATTAATAGGCATTATTCCATCAAGAAAAAAGGGGAAAGAAAAGATGAATAGGCATTCAGAAAGACTACTTAAACTGAGATTCTGCATTTTCTAAAACTAAATTAAATTCACCTTACAGTCGTAAACTGATGATGTAAGCCCTTCTTTTGAATGGTTGGCCAATATCACAATACTGACTATTAATTCCGAAGGCTGTATTTACTTGTAGTGCAAATCTGAACTGGATACAAATTTTGCACCTGGTTCAGTTTTGCATCTATTTGTTTGTAACTATGATTTGCACTCCTACCTGAAACAAATTTTGTACTTACAACAGTGCAAAGTTTGCATCCCAAAAACTGATACATGATTGGCATCACCTCACTCTCACATCAATTCTCTCTTGTATAAAATGGGGACCACATCATCTTGCTTCTTACTCCACTCTCAAACAAATAACCCTCCTGCTACCTCCATTCTCTTTCATATAAAGTGGGGACACATCATTTTACAAAGTCAACTCTGAAGCAAAAGTAAACCAGAATTTACACTCACCCTATTTGCACTCCCATGCATTTACACTAGTGCAAGTGAGATTCACACTGCAAACAAACTGAGACCAAATGTTTATCAAAAAGAATGACAAAGAAGCTTCTATAAAACAGGGGGTGTTGATCAAGTGGATGACCCATCAAAGAAAAAACCAAGTAGATGTGGACAAATACAGGTTGGGTCTTTAGTACTTGCAAGTGATGGTTCACTACTTCACCTGATGGGGATTATAATTTACTTTGCCATCAATCATCACTGCCATTGCTCTTAACAATGGAGTGGACATAAATTTGTGCTTTTTTTTTATCAGTGACATAAATTTGTACTTTGCAGAATGTATTGCATGGATGGCCAAACTTAATAACAGTAAAAGGTATCTATTACACTATTTAAGGCTACTGCTTGCACATCATAATACAGAATACCCAGACAAGGGAACAAGCTGTGAATATATTGCATTATATTTTGGAATTTAATGGTCAAAGGAAAATTAATGCTTACAAAAAAGAAGGAACCTAAAAATTCTTCATTTCAGATGCATCACAGTGCCATCTAACTGCAAGCATTATCCATTCACTCCAGAAACGGCCAACATCAGTCTTCTTCATCAAGTGCAGTGAAATCTTCTACAACACCAGGCTGTGCAGTAGTTTCCTTGCGAGCTTCATCAATTTCAACTAGCAATAAGGGATCACACACCACTCTTCCTGCCTGCAGAACTTTGGGACAACCTGTGTTTGGAACAGAATACAACCAAGGTTATATAGGAATACAAAATAAGCACAGTTAGATTTGAGCAGCAGGTTGATATACTTGCTACTACAAGATAAGCACAGTTAGAATTGGGTAGTAAGTTGTGTACCTGCAACAGGGCATTGAGGGTTTCCACCTCTGGAATTGGACTTTATGTAGTGCATCACTGATTTCTTGTCATAAATATGCTTGCAGTCCATACTGCACAAAAAACATCCAAACAAAGCTGAAAATTCTGTTTAATAAAATGTTTACAGTGACTCAATGAATAAGCCATTTGTAAAAAGCAAAAGGAAAAAAGAAAAGAACAGAAAAAAGGAGCACTCTGCTTGGATGAATATATACATATGTTCATATGCAGCATATGGAGTGGATTCCTAGTCATACCATTTAGTGAGCTTCACTAAATGACCCAGAAATCTTCCATGTGGCAACATATTTTGGGGCTGAAAAGAAATTCCCTTATTCCTCTTCCCACCCATTTTTTATGGGAAAAACTTTTGGCCCAAAGGCTTTGCCTTGTGCTCAAGACAAAGCTCCCTTGATGGACAACTTTTAAACCTAAAAGCTAAAAATATGAAGGACTGCCATTTACTGACCAAAACTCCAATACAAGGTTGGAAATAGGTTGAATTGGAATGAAGGATTGAATATGTGGCTACAAACTACAGTGGGTCTCCTACGGCCTACCTGATGGAAGGTCTGGATTGGCCATAGGAGCTTGTGTAAGGGTGCTTTTTGCCTGATCTGATTAGGAAACCTTTTCCCTACATATTATATGTAGGAAATTAGTTGGGTCTTGATTTCTCAAGGACAGTTTTGCCCATTTGATTTAGTAGCAGACTATCAGTAGTGAAAAAGAGTTTCAAAGGAAAATTATATGTAGGAAATTAGTTGGGTCTTGATTTCTCAAGGACAGCTTTGCCTATTTGATTTAGTAGCAGTAGTGAAAAAGAGTTTCAAAGGAAAAACTGATGTGGGGCAGATCTATTAGGATAGAAATTCACCAAATAGGTGGAGGATGATATGGTCTAGAAATAAACAAAGCAACGCTGGGGTTGGGCAAGACTTGGGTTGAGGGATCATACAAGCCCAATTCAACCTGAGCCTGACAGCACATACCAAGTTTTAAATATATAGTTGTATAAGAAAATAAATAGCAAGAAGTTCAGTTTAGAGGCATGAATGTTACTTTGGACATGAAAGACAAGTTCAGTTGTCTGATCTCTCACTGTTCATTAGCAGCTTTTGTTTCTATCATAAACTAATCATAAACTGACATAACATATAGACTGCAATGTAATCTGTTATGTAATTTACCAGCCTATAGAAACTCCTTTATGTGGCTATGTAGGAAACCAGTTCCCATGAACATTTTTTACTGTATGTCATTTATAGGTTGGCAATTCCAATAAAGGCAATTTAAAAACTGCAGTATAATTGCTTGCATAAAATGAACAAAATAAAGACCTATTCTCAAATCTCAATTATTAGCCATTTCTCTTTGACCATAGTAAAGCCAATGTGAATCCATTACAAAAAAAAGTCATGAGGCACTTCTGGAGGGAATCAAATAATACCAGCGTACAGGATCTGCCAGTTCAATAACAGGCTTTCCACTTAATGGGCATGTGGTATTCAAAAGGATGGTCTGAGTATTGGTCATGACGACATCCTCCTGCTCATCACCTGGCATTGGTTGACCTGCATGATGAACATTCTGCAGCAAAATAATAAGCACGGCTAGAATCTATATGGCAATCAACATAATAACCATCACTTAAGACTTAACAGAGCATCTCATAGGAAGAGATACAACCAAGAGAACCAGGCCAGCGTAGGTAGGTATGAAATGTGCATAGCATACAGCCACAGAAAAAAAAGGACAGAAAACTAGAGAGTGCAACTTTAGATGAATACTTCTCATTTGAGATATTAACAGTACTAACTACCTATTGTATTAATAAAGGTATCAAGTGGTGACAAAAAAGAATGTCAGAGATACAGGTTTAGGTACATAAAATGTGGCAAGGAATTGGAACAACCCACATCACCTAATCCATATTTTGCTAATAATTATAGTGAGGATTGATTGGGAAGAAAAAAATAATGAGTTAGAGTAAGCTCTACAGTATCATTGGTCAGGCAAAGAATTTTACTATTGGGTTGACCATTCTACAGTGGGAGAAAAACTGCAACAGCTTTTCAGTAACATTTTATCATTTTTTATCAGCTTCAGTAACATTTTATCATTATCAGTTAAAAAGAATCATGACACCATGGAAAGAGCATGGGTCATGGTAGTAGATGTGTTCATCATTGCTATTGGCTTTCCTATTCAAAATACCATTTCCACTAGCCTTCTTTCAAACCATGGCCATCACTGCTTTGCTGGAATTTATAAAGATGCCAAATATCAGTCACCTTGACTGGACAGAATAGGAAGGCCAAGAAGAGGGAATTAATGAGATTCCAACAATAACAGCTAAATCATATCAGAAACTTACAGGCACAGAAGAATAGAGTACAATGCCTTAAGTATGTCAGAAGCCCCATTTCATTTTCCTAACTTTTTAGTGTGTTTTATTCAGAGTTAGTAGTGCCCAATTAGGAGTTTCATGCTGGAAGGTTTTTGCAATATCAGCAGGATAAGGAAAAGTGTTTCAAATTGAAATACTTAAACTCTGAAGTATATTCTAAAGTGTGTGCAACTCTGTCATGCAGCCCTTTTTCTAATCAGTACCGGTATCATGTCTTCTTCTTTTTTTTTTTTCTTTTTTTGATAAAACCAACAGAAATTATTGTTAAAATAAATAAACATTACAACCAGAAAAGCATTTAAAAACAGAAAACTCCTGATTGGAAACCATATAACACTCCCAAAACAGCCTCAAACCAAATCAAAGGTAGAGTATACTGTATACCAAAAGTTGGAATAAAAAGAATCTCTAGACATGTCTGAAAATTGTGGAACAACATGCCATTCAAACCATTCCATACTAAAATTTCATTTTAACTCTATACCCATATAGCTTCCTTGAATTGCCGAAACAAAATATTGTTTTGTCGAACCGAATATGAGTTGGCCTTGAGCTTTCTGACCTCATCCTCAAGCAACTCGTTAAAATCCGTCATCTGTAATGAGAACATGGAACCAATAAATAAATAAAAAACTTACAACTGAAGGCAATGAAAAATGAATGCATGAAATGTTATAACATCGGATTAATCAATTTGAAGGAGAAACAGGGGAGAAAAGAACCTCTTCTCTGGGTTGGTATTTGTTACCAACGGATTGAATGGCGGATGACAGATGCGAACAATCATCAGAACATGCTAACAACTCAATAACGGCTTCTTCAAGCTCCTTCACCTGTAGCACGGAACAACTAGAAGATCGCAATTCAAGCAAATCCCCTCCAACACTAAACTGCAGAGTTAGGGTTGCATCAGTTCAATTACCTTTTGAGACTGGTTATCCTTCTCTAAGTTGACTGCGATTGCCTTCATCGTAGACAACGATTTTCGAATTTCCTGAGACCAAAAAGAAAGGAACTACCATTAACACTGAGAACGAGATGATCAGAGTTTTTAGGTTTTGTAGAGGAGAGAATTACAGCAATGAGAGCTTCAGTGTCGGAGGACAGTGTAGAAGTTGCAGTTCTGATTCTGCCAATTACAGGGTCGCCATGTGAAACAGAGGTTGACGCCATTTACTTCCACTTCACAAAGATCTTCCACTGGTTCAAGAGAGTGAAATCGCTGGAGCTCCTTTGCGAAAAGTTTGGAGGGAAAGACCAGTGAACGAGGTAATTTTACAAAATCGAATCGAATCATTCATGAATAGGGCTGCAAACGGTATCCATTTTGTCCGAATTCAAATTCGAATCCGGTGCGGTTAAGACCCAGATTGGTCCCGAACTCAAAACCCCTACTGGGTTAGATTTTTAAAAGGGTAAGTTACAAATACCCTCCCTATACTATGGAGTGTGACACAAAAGACCCTTTTGTACTTTTTTTGCGACAAATACCCCCTGTACTATGTTCATGAGACAAAAACCCCCCTTCCATTAGCCTTCCATCCAAATAGATGAGAAGTCCGTTGCAATATTTTATAATCCCCATACTGACCAAGCTCTGAGTTATAGTAGCAAGGGACATCTCCCTCAAGTGTTTCAATCAGAAGGGCGAAATACCTTGGTTATTTATGATGTCTTACTTCGGTGAGTGATCACTATTAGGGGTTATCATTGTTAGTATCAATTTTCACCTCTTCTATAGTTATATTAGGGTTAAAGCGACCTCCAATACATTAGTATTGACATTGGTATTGAACGAAATATCTTGTTTATTTATATCAATGAACGAAGACAACTAGCATGCCTATAGATCTTTTGTTTTAAACTTCTTTTCAATTTTTAAAAACTTAACTTCAACTAAGCCAACAACTTACATATAAGTCTTGTAAATTGGTATATGTTTCTTTTTTTTTTTTTCTTTTTTTACATCATGTGAGTATGAAATTCTTATTCTCCCATTACAAGTAGTGCTACTACAAGCAACCCTTTTTTTTATTGGAAACGGTTACTGCAAGCAACCCATTGTAAACAATATCAACAAACCATTTTCTCTAATTTTTAGTTCAATTGCCTTGAAAGTTTTTTTAGTTCATTTGATATATATATATATATATATATATATATATATATATATATATATATATTTAATGTTCAACTTATTTTTCACCTCATAGTTTATCATAATAATACCCTTTCTGTTGTCCTTCCATGCTAGCTGAACTGAACTTGTAGAACTAAGTTTTGTAGTCACATGCAGTGTTTTGAAAAATATTTGAGGCTTATGTCAAGGTGAATCTCAAGGAGAATGCATTGTGGCAATACCTAATAGTATAAAGAACATTCCTCATAACTTGAGATGCCTTTCATGTGTTTATACTTTGTATATGTACACCACTACCTATTATGCTTGTACATTTCTAATGTCATTTTAAACCATTATTAAACATTTAAATCTCTTTAATAGTTATTAAATGATTTGCAAGATTTTGGTGAAGTGGCAACCATTCATAGCGTTATGGCTTAGTCATTTTTTTTGTGTTTTCAAATTTTTTTGTATAGTATTCTTCCTAGAAGGAGCACAAGTTATGTGTAGCTAATTTTAGGTTGATTAATGTTCATGAAGTTAATTGAACTTGTTTGAAGTTTTCTCATTAATGTTAATCTTCATGAAATTTTCTCATTAATTTTAATCTTCATGAAGTTTTCTCATTTAATGTTTAATGAAGATCAATGTTAAGGAAGTACATTGTTCAACAATTGTAGATTAATTCTCATTAAGTAAAATGAAGTATAATGTTAATGAAAGAAATGATTTATTATAGAAATGAGTGAACACTCAACTTTCACTTTGCAATCACCAAGTAATCTGATATTTGAGACAAAGTTTTGTGATTATCGGAAGAAGTGTGTAATTAGGGTTTCTGAGACGATTTCGAACCCACATAAGCTATTTTATACATGTCATCGCAAAGTTGTAAGTGATATGATAAAGTCACTTTCTTCACAACATGGCCATTGTTCCTAGTTGTCTTAAAAAAAAGGTATTTCATGCCATGCAGGGAAAACAACCGAATGCCAAGCCTTATTTTTTTTTAGAATGGAGTTCCCATCAACCACTCAAAAGAGGTGACTTCACATATGTGTAATGATGATGTCCAAGCATGACATGTGAGGGAGCTGGAGAAGTTTCAACCTAAGCTGAATGATTGGGTGAAAACTCTAGAGAGTAAGTCTGATCAGATGTTAATTGGGATCATGCGCCTCTTGAAAGTTATTGTTCTTTTTGGATTCATTTTAATGTTTATGTTTAGGAAGTAGGGTATTAAGGAGAAGAGAGAAAGCAATGGGTTTTTTGCATGTTTACATTTTGGGGAGGGATAATCACTATACATTTTTCGTGTCAGGGTGTTAGTGTATACCCTTTGAAGATCTGGACTTATGACTTCTAACTTATGGATGGAGCTTAAGATTTTTATTATGATGACATATAAGTTACTATATTTGTTGTGATTGGTAATGATATCTATGATTGCTAATTAATGGACTTCAAGTGCCTCTTAGATGGCATGGTCATTATTATATTGGAATTTTATATGCAGCGATTTTAGGTAGTTGAGAAAGAAGTGGTGATCATAATTGGTCCATATTCCTCTAGAGTAGCCCATATGATCTATATGATTGGTAATGGACTCCAAATACCTCTTGTACCATTTGTTGCCACAAATATGACTCTCTTCGTCATTCAATTCCCTTTCTTTGTGCAAACCATGCAAACTGATTTGATTGATTAATATGAACTTGCTAAAAAAATGTCAAAGATGATTATGTCCTCCATCTTAACCATTGTTGATACAAAATGCATATGTCGAATTGGTTATGTTTACAATCCATTGTCCTTCATCTTTAGGGTCACTTGAAGTTGTCCTTCAAAATCCATTGTTGATATGTTTACAAAAAAAATGAGCACCCCTATGTCTCTTACAACCAAAAAATTTATATTGTATGTTCACGAAGTGTACAAAAAATTCAACAACCAAAAAATTTCAGCACTTAACCATTGTGTACAAGAATTTTCTATATGCTTTTATGCTGAATTGGGTGTTGTTCCAACCTGTATCGTATGTTCATGAAAATAAGCAAAAAAAAAGGCATAATTGACCCATATGTTGAATTGGCTACATCTTCATTCAAACTCAATGATCATTGTTCAAATTTTGATGAACTTTGTAGGATGATTCTTGCACCATTGGAGGAAAACTAATGTTAGGGAACTTTAGAAAAATGAACTTTCACAATAGAGTGAGCTAAATGCAAAAGATTTAAGGGAAATAGTAGATTAGTTCAATATGTACCTAGAACCATTGGCAAATCTGATAGTTGTTTCTATTGAGACATAATTCTCTTATTTCCATCAAAGTCGAATTAGTTGATTGGCTCATTGGCTTTTGGGGTTGAGGCCACTAATGTTTCTTCATAGTTTTATTTACAAAAAAAATCTAATAGTTGTTTTTTAGATAAGTTAATAGTTGTTTCTTCATAGGCCACTAATGTTTTTTAGTTGAAATCCCAATGAATTTCAACATATAATTGTAAGGCTCAAAGTTGTATCAAATAACATAGAAATCCAACCCATCTGCAGACAATCCATTTAGTGTCAAATAGATAAAAAAGTGTTCATATACCTTTGTAAATAAGTTTCATTAAAGAAAGAGGTGATTTACACTACACTCCTTAAGCAAAAGACACACATGAGATAAGCACCAAGCTAGTCATATGCTTTGAAGCATATTACTAGTAACAAGTGAAATGCTCAAAGGCATCTCAATCCCATAGACTATGATTAAAATCATAAGGGGGGGTAAGAAAGTTGGTTTCAAGGTTTCCAAGATAAGGCTGTCATCTATACATTCATGGTATGGTTCCAAAGTGTAAAAATGCCATGCTTTTCATGGATATGGTATTGAATAGTGTAGAATGTTGGAATAGGACTCATGTAGCCAACCCATAAAGCAAAACTACACGCATTGAATGCTAAGTTTATTTGTTTAAAAATTACAGATAAGAAATGGCATTAACCAACTTAGGTAGCATGCCATCAAGTACCTAAGTGTTCTTCCTAATTGTTGATTGGGATGGTGTCATTGGAGCACTACCCACACTCCTGGTCTGTATAGATATGGATGGTGGTATCAATGACCTAGGCCTACTTACAAAACCACTCCCTCTAGCATGAGTGGTGACAGTCTGACTAACCTGTAAAAACAACAATTGGGAATATACTACTTGGATACTGACTATCAAATTGTAATGGATATGTAGTGACCTTGTACTTGTGAAGAAGCCCAATTAAGTGGTATAGGCCCACCCTACCATTACCCCTACCCCTAGAACTGTTAATTGATGAAATACCTTACAACAAAAACCAAAGCCCCAACATCAGGCTTGATAGCTATAACACCCAAAAACAAACACAATACAAAAGTCTCCTTGTGAGAGCATTTACCTGATAGAGAAATTGATGTCTTGGAGACTGGTGCGTTGGAACTTGCTGTGGTGGAGCCAATTGTTGTGCCACTCCTTTGGCCATACTTTTACATCTGCCTATAACAACATCTCCTGCATGAGACACATGGAGATTAACTTAACTTGATTGGGATTCTAATAACAATGTAGAACTCTCACTACTACCCTACATCCTCATGCTTGTTTGACCCTCCTGTACACAAAACAAGAATGTTATCAACTTCTGTTATTTATCGAGTAATGAAGAGAGCTACAAATATCATGAATTACCTAAGGTGGTGGTCCTTTATTGCTTCTTTCCTGACCTTTGCACCTTCTTTTATCGTGTCTTTAGCACCACAATTTATACATTTCATCTTCCCAAACCTTCTTGACACATGGACCTCGTAACTTATTTCATTTGGCCCCTTCTACCTTTCTTTGGCCTAACAAGTTGTTTTCTAAATGGTGGTTTGATTGGAACACCTTTAGTCCTTGGCCACTGGGATTCATCAAGCACTGGTATAACATAATGACTGCATGCCTTGAGACACCTCTCATTAGTGTATAGTGGATCCACATAGTCATAAATACTATCATGTTGTGACTGAATGCATGGAATGGCATGACAACAAGGCAGCCTGTCAGTGCCCAAGTCCTACAACTACATGTCTTGGACTGTAAGTTTACCACCACTCTTCTCTTGAAATGCTCAATTTCAAATTTTCCATTCCCCACA